CCGAAGTATATATTTTTTCTTTTATTAAACATCAACAAAGAATCACAACAACAAACATGAAGGACTTCTACAAACACATGAAGTATAAACACGGCGAAAACACATGTATGGCACTGAAAAGATAAAGTAAACTAAAACAGAAGTTAACCAAGCAGATGGCGCAACTTAAGTTCTTATTCGAATGAAGGATATATAACCTATTACCAAATCACTTCACAAACGCAATAAAGAATGTCAATATTAACACCACATCCCACAAACTTAAAGCACAAACCGAAAAAACAAAACAACTTTTTTTTTAAAGAAAATACTCAATATAGAAATTACGCAAACAAACATGAGTATTATAACTTCTAAGGGCCAGTTTTTCAGTGCATGGCCGTGGTTTAAACTAAGATCAGCCAATCAAATGTAAAGCAGCTGTTCAATTTAAACTCAGTTTACTTAAACTAAGTTTAAACTGGCACTGAAAAACTGACCCTAAAACCCACATACACCACGCGCAACAACAACTTAAATATAGTATAAGCGAAACAGAACTGTACTCTTAGCAATTAAAAAAATTGTTAGTTTACATAACAACTTTTGCCGTTTGCACTAACAATTGTGTGATTCTCTAACTCTTGCTTAACAGCGAAAAACAGCTGATTATCCTTTTTATTTAAAATGATGAAATGTGGCATCTCAGTCGAGATAAATGTCAAATATGCGAAAAGTACAAAGAGGAATAAGAAAAAAACCGTATTTCCTTCCCGCGGAAACGGAATTTTTAGCGCCAGCAACGTATTGCAATTTTAAAAGGTAGTATTTAGTTATTTTAGTTATTAATTGGAATTTACTAGAACTTCTTTCATTTTAGGATGTCTATCCAGCCGACGAAAAGGAGCCGTGCATCGGGGGAGCAGTTAAGCGCGATGCTTGACTTTCTGGGTGAAAATCCGAATGTGGCGAGCGGCAAGTTCCAGAAGCTCCATGGCAAGTTGGAGAACACCAAGAAGGGGGGGGCTGCCAAATCTGTGGAGCAATGGCAAAATGTAAGTATAAGTGATAAAGTACGAGCATTTCCGGAAATGCATTACTGCAAAACATCGCACCTCTTATTCCAAAAATATGTTTGCTGAAATCAGACATCATTATATACTTAAGTATAAAAATAGGTGCTTTGCAGTAAGGCATTTCCGAAAACGGCCTACACCAAAGAATAGTAAAGTATGAAAGTGTGTTTCTATTTTGCAAAAGGTCTGGCGCGACCTAAAAA